GGCCCAAGTTCCTATATATCCTCCTTTTCTCTCTACAACTATCTTCATCTTGAAGAAAACCCCCCTCCTCCTCTTCATGCATCTTTACCCAGAACGGGCAGCACAGTGGCCCAGCAGGAATTCCAATGGCTCTGGCTCTTTGCTGGAACATCTGGCACGTTCTTTCCGTGTCCCCATGGGTTTACCCCGGGTTACCCGGTTTCCTTTCAAGGCCCAAACACGCTCTACATCAGGGGTGTCAAACTCAATTCCTGGAGGGCCGAAGCCCTGCACAGTTTAGTTCCAACCCTGCTCCAACACACTTACCTGTAGGTTTCAAACAAGCCTGAAGGACTCAGTTAGTTTGATCAGGTGTGTTTAATTAGGATTGGAACTAAACTGTGAACAGCTGCGACCCTTTTGGAACTGAGTTTGACACCTGTGCTCTACATTATAGACCAAATAAACCTAAGTCTCTTTTACCAGACGTCTCGCTCTTAGGAAGTTCGCCTTGGCCTTAGCTGCAGGGGAGTTTTGAGATCGTCCTGAGCTCAATCTTCCCTCGCCCAACGACAGGAGGGAGCCCTGGACTCGAGGATCACCTTCTCAAGGTCATTAGACGAGAGAAATTACTTCTCTTTTGCCACAAGTCGTAAATGGAAAAAAACTGGATTTAACAACTGAATTACTTAATTGTTCAATTTCAGATCGTGGTCGAACTGAAACCCTAGGTTTCTAACAACAGGTTTTTGATAAGCTGATAGCTCACTAAAACCTAATAATTCCAGAGGGGTAGGATCCCCAAACCACACCAGCTCAGATTTTTCCACTTGAAATTGAAAAAAATTGACAACAGTCAGGTTTTACCTTTGATTAGACATCTCATAACGGAGTGAAGGCTATTTTTATCATTATTTTTAGGAGGGAAATAATTCTGGGTGACGTCAGCATTAAAATGAAAAGCCACCCCATATTTACTAAAAATAGATCCTAAAGGTAAAATATATAAAGAAAATAAATTTTTAAACTCATTTATGATAAATGTTTTAGAATATAAGATATTCTGTTGTTAAAGTGAAGTTAGAGTCAATTTTAAATCATTTTAAAAAACAAGACAAAAACACAACAAAACATGTTTTTCTTTGTTTTACGACATTTAAAAAGCAACAGGACAAGGCTTCATAAACTTTTCAGATTCAGTGGAACATTCACATTAACATTCACACTTGGAACATTGACACAGCGGAATGAACCGCCAACTATTCCTGCATATGTTTTATGCAGTGAATGCCCTTCCCGTCGAAAGGATTCAGTGGAAAAGGAAAAATCCAAATTTTAATATGTTCACATTCCTGGTGCCAAAAAATATTTTAAAATGCTTTTATTTAAAGATTTTGATAAATAGTATAAGATAAAACACTTTATCAGAATTTAATAGTGTGGAATAAATTGTGAAGACATGGTTTTGAATGTAAGCTCAACCTCCCCAATATTAGTCAACATTAAAATGAGCATGCACAAACTATAAGCAGAAAGGTCTCAGCTGTTCAGTTTGCTCCTCAGGGAGCGGAAACATTTTATCATTATTAGGTCTTATAAAGGCTGCCTTGGATATAGTCTAGATCAGGGTCTATAACAATACAGGTAAGTCCATGCACTGGATGCTAAAGCTAAGTGCACTCTTGCTTGTTTCTTAAGCAAACTTTGTAAAAGTAAGCATAAATATACACAAATATTGTGCATATTTGTTCACTGTTTTTATTTTTATTATTATTTTATATTGTCTAAAAATTGATCTTGTACTGCTTATTCTGCTACCTATTAACAGTGCTGGAATGAATACGTTAGTGTAATAATGCTCATAAAAATAATAACATCATTAAACCACTTAATTTCTTCAGCTATTTCAGGTTCATAATGAACAACACACTTCCAGCGGATCCATTTTATGAGAAGTTCATCAAGAACTTCATCAGCGTGGCTCTTGGTTTAATCATCAACTTTATCAATGGAACATTTGTGATGGTCTTCTTTAAAAATACTGTTTTCCATAATGACCCAAGATATATATTATACATCCATTTGGTTATCAATGACATGATTTTGCTGTCATTTTCTGTGGGCTTGCAAGTCACAACATATGTTTTGCGCGCCTTCAATGTCTCTATTTGTTGTGCTGTAATTTGTTTCCTTAGTATACTTGGCAAGAACACTCCACTAAACCTGGCCTGTATGGCCATAGAGCGTTACATTGCCATATGCAAGCCACTTCATCATTTGCAAATATGTACAGTTCGCAGGACCTACATGCTCATCTGTTTCATATGGACTGCTTCAGCACTGCCAGCTCTGAGTGATATATTCATTGCAATATCAATCCGAACGGCAAGCTTTTTCTCAACTTCCAATTTATGCCACAGTGCGTTCGTTTACAACAGCTGGGAGCACAGTATCAAAGAAACTGTGGTGAATGTTGTGTATTTGTCACTTGTGTGGATTTCACTGATTATCACCTACTTCAATGTCCTTTCTGCAGCAAATGCTGCAAGTGCAGATCGAACGTCTGCTAAAAAAGGCCGAAACACAATATTTCTGCATGCAGTTCAGCTTCTGCTTTGTATGATGTCCTACGTCACCCAGGTTGTGAGTTCTGCACTTGTAGAACGTTTTCCTGAGAGTCGAACCACTATTCTGTTCTTGCTGTTTCTGCTGACCAATATTCTGCCAAGGTTATTAAGCCCTCTGATCTATGGGTTGAGGGATCAAAAATTTCTTGAGCGTATCAAAGTGTTTTACTCTTGCAAACACGTAAAGACACAGATAATCACTATAAAGAAAACTGCAGTATGAACAGAATGTGTTTTATTTTGTATATTTTATAATTGGTGATAATAAAATGTGTTATCGTAATACAGTTAAAGTCAGAATTATTAGCCCCCTTTAGTTTTTTCCCCAATTTCTGTTTAACAGATAGAAGATTTTTTTTCAACACATTTTTAAACATCATAGTTTTAATAACTCATTTCTGATAACTGATTTATTTTATCTTTGTCATGACGACAGTAAATAAAATTTGACTAGATATTTTTCAAGACACTTCTATACATCTTAAGGTGACATTTAAAGGCTTAACTGGGTTGATTAGATTAACTAGGCAGGCTAGGGTAATTAGGCAAATTATTCTATAACGATGGTTTGTTCTGTAGAGTAGACTATCGGAAAAAAGTTAGCTTAAAGAGGCTAATAATTTTTACCTTAAAATGATGCTTAAAAAAATTAAAACTGATTTTATTATTGCCGAAATAAAACAAGTAAGACTTTCTCCAGAAGAAAAAATATTATCAGACATACTGTGAAAATTTCTTTGCTCTGTTAAACATAATTTGTAAAATAAATAAAAAAAGTTGTATATTAGGCATTGGGTACTAGGTGTGGCTATCTGATGAATAAAGAGTTAATATAAAACTATGAAGATAATAATAATAATAATAAATAAATAAATAAATAAACAAGGGGGGGGGGGTTATAATCCTGACTGTCATTGTATGTGACAAATGTGAATTCACTCATATTTATTATAATAAGACGCAGGTATCTAAAGTCTGGAAATATACATATGAAAATATTAAATATATATATATATATATATATAAAAGACCTAAACGTTTCTTCAGGGCATTTATCAAAATATGTGCAAATTGTTTATTAAATTGTCTGCAGTGGCTTTCATTATGGATTTAGAGTGTGTATATAGAAAATAAAATCACAAAAATGAAAGCCTACTGTAAACATATAACATTTTTGCTTTGTCATGTTTGTATTACTCCTTGTAAGCTTACTGATAAGCTTCCTAATTGTTTTTGGAAGTTAATAAATTTTATTTTCTGTCATAAATACCTTGTCAAGAGTCACAAAAATAATTAAAATTAGTCAATCCGTTCACTAAAGACCTCAACATATGGCTTGGTGTATATTCAGTTGATAATGTACAACTAATTAAAGTATTTCTAACTTTAAACACGTTTACATGTGCTCTATTTGCAGCAAATTATGTTTCATCAGTAAATTTTATACAGCAGGTTACCCCAATAATTATTTGTAGTACTGTCACTTTAAGAGATTCCCGCGACTGCGTGAGTGCGTGCGTGCGCGCGCACGAGAGAGACTCGGACGGAGAAACTTTTTTTTTTCGTCTGCGGTAAGTTTGACCAGCGAATATTAATTTACACCGAAAACAGGTTGATGAAAGCACAAAAAAGTTCAATAATACTAACAGATAAGTCTTAAATTATGCAGAGTAAAATGACTTTAACAAGATACATGTTGTGTATTTTGAAGGTATATTTTTGCATTATGAGATTCATGTTTGAGACGCTAGTTTGCATTCAGTAGTAACATTAACGTAATTTAGTCACGTCACACAACAAATTAACATTTGTTTATATTTTAACTCAACGTGCTCAGGTTTCAGCGTTTTTATTAGCCAAATAATACTCAATTATTTCATAACCACACATTCATAAAACACATTCACCAACTAGGTTCAACTGTCTTTCACTAGTTCATGATAACCTACCCAAATGTTGTTTGTAGCACTGTCCATTGCAATTGAATGCAGGGACATAGCGCACGATGTATGACATCCAAAAGTTTATGTTTAATGATTAATCACTTGTTTCTAAATGGTCTGTCTCTAAAAGTGAGGGGGATGTATCCCCCATCCCCACCCGGTTGCCTGATTGAATGTATTTAAGTTTTCAAATTGAGTCTTTATTGTGCTGTTTGCTAATATAAAGTGGAATTTGTTACACTATATTTTAGCAGTTTTTACCACACTTTAGATATTTTTATAGTTTCGAGATATTTCAGATATTTCAGCTATGTCAATTGTCATTATAGGTAGATTGTCTGTTTTTTTTTTTTTTAGTTTACAGGAATTTATGAAAAAAAAGTACAATCTTTTTTTTTTTTTTTGATAGTTGTAAATAACACATTTTTTTCTATTTTATTTTTAAGCACTTGAAACCAGCTCCAGTGGAAGAAAATGACTGGATTCAAAACGTTCAAATTGCTATTGCATGTATCTCCATTTCTGTGAGTTAACAAAAATTTATGGAAGAGAACAAACACACACTCACAAGGCAAGCATGTAGGCAGTGCTTATCATAACATGTTACAAAACAACTTTTTAAAACATATTTTAAAAATGTGGGTTTGGTTATTGATTTGAATGTGGTTTTTACTCTGAAGTGAGACTGAACTGTGTGTGAATGTAATGATGGGTCCACAATTAGGTTATTTTTCCTCTCAAACCTAATTTTCTGATCAAGTTGAATTGTTTGAACTTGCATAAAAAAGATGCGATTGAGGCAAAATACGCATGTTCACAGCAAACACGTCAAACTTTTCATGTCATTCATGAAAATATTTAATTTTGCTTTTGGTGTGAACCACTGTATATTAAGATCCTGTTTTGCCTCAGAGGAACTGGAGTAAATATTTTACCTCTCAACTATCTTAGACTTAGCAAAGCATTTATATATTGCTGCACTTTTTTAAAGTGTTTCTTTTATCCTCAGTTGTACGTCACCTAAGATAAAAATATCTGCTAAATTAATAAATATAATGTAAACGTAGTTAAAACATGAACTGCAATAAGTTAATAGAAAATAAATGAAGCCTTTTTCTAATTTCAATGTTTAATTAGTTGTAAACAAAGACACAAATGGAATCACCATCGTCCATCAAACTTGCCGTGCGTTCTCTCTCTCTCTTTCTCCCTCTATCTCCCTCCCTCCTCACTATCCGTCATTCATCCTCATCTGAAGTATTTAAACGTGGCAGATTTTACATTTCAAGGCACAAATCGATCGGCAATGCCAGGTGAGAAGGTGAGCCCTCTATTCTTAACACTTTTAAAAATAATTACATACATACATAGTATGTTGTGTTTTGGAAGTCATGTCTTTTTGCTCATACTGTACCTACTATGTTGAGTTTAATTTCAGATCTGATAACAAAGATGGAAAATACTCATCTTTTCGCTTGATGGCCTTTAAAAAGTTGTGGACGTCATTCGGAGGACAAAGAAAACCAACAAAAAAGTCAAGAAAAAGGAAGCTCATATTTTTAAGTCGCAGAACTTCATGCCGCTGTGAAAGAGTTATGAATTCTACAATGTTTACGTACACTAATGTAGACAGATATGCGGAGGCTTTCGCAAAAAATTTCACCACAGTTCTTCTTGGGCTCATAATTACCTGCGTCAATGGATTATTTGTTTTCACTTTCTTCAAGAGTTCAATATTCTACAACGATCCAAGATACATATTATATGTTCACATGGTTATCTGTGATATGCTCATGGTTATTTTCAGTGTAGGTCTCTCTGTGATGGCTTATGCATGGCCAAATGTTCCTGTACCATTTTGTGTAACACTTCTACTAATATCCTCAACAACCCATAAGAACACTCCTCTGACTTTGGCTGGTATGGCCATTGAGCGTTACATTGCCATCTGCAAACCACTGCATCACAATCAGATCTGCACAGTGCGCAGGACGTACATCCTCATCTCTCTTATATGGAGTGTTGGAGTTTTACCTTCATTGGCTGACTTGATTCTCCTTTCAATTGTTCGTCCTTTGGCTTTTTACACAAGTGCTCTCTGTAGTACATCTAATTTGTATAGCACACCGTACCATGAAGAACAGAGTAAAATTACACATGGGATATATACAACTGTTGTGTGGGTAATTCTTGTGTACACATATTGTCGAGTGCTGATTGCTGCCAGAAAAGCAACCGCTGACAAATCCTCAGCAAAAAAGGCCCAAAATACAATACTGTTACATGGAGTACAGCTCTTGCTCTCTATGATGTCCAATATTACTCCTGTTATAGACAAGATTTATGCCCAACTTCTTCCCACATTACGGTCAAAAATCACCTTTTTCAATTATCTTTTTACAAATTTATTACCACGACTGCTAAGCCCTCTTATTTATGGTGTTCGAGATAAACATTTTTTGAAATACCTGAAAGGGCTGTTTTTATGTCGATTATTTCATGTAAAAGTTCAACCAGCCAAATCATGAGCTAAAAATATATTACACAATGCAATTAGTGTTTAAAACTATTTTATATATTATATTTTGCATGCAGATATCTATATGCGTTAATTGCTTGATTTAATACCTAATGTTTATGCAGCAAATAAGTTTCAAACTGTGTTTTGGCCATAAAGCTTCATCGTTTTTCTCAATTGCTAACATACTTTTGTTCAATCCGTAGTCACATTTTTCTAAACACAAATAGCACAACATCAGTCTGTTGTTGTGACCAACACAATTTTTGTTGTTTTCACACAATATTCAGTCAACTAACACATTTCTAAAATGCTTACTTTTTTCACATAAGCTTATCCTATATCAAAATTATGTATCTTCTTTTTTGAGCATGGCAGAAAATATATATTTTTCCTTTTTGTTTTTTAAAGGGCAGAATTATGCTATGAATTTATGGTTATTAAAACTGTAGCACCAAAACTGGATCTTAGGCTGTAATCACAAGGGAAGCACTTAACAGTAAGTAGCACCTAACACCTAAATCTGTGCAGTTTTGTGCGATAAAGCACCTTAACCAGCCCAAAAAAACCCCCAAAGAATCATTGCAGATTTTGTGGGTTATTCTGTGGGTGTTTTTTTCCTTCAGTTTTACAGAAATCATGTGTTTTTGCAGTGGTACTCTTCAATACACAATGTGAGAAACATCTCAAGGTTTAGTAATTAACATAAATCATGTGTTTTGCTATTGTACTATTCAATGCACAAAAAATGTGATATTAGAAAGCTGTTTTTTTTTTTTTTGTAAATAAACTCCACACACACACACACACACACACAAATGAAGTTTACTTTAAATTTGTATTTTATTACTAAAATGACTAAAACTTGACAAGCAATGCTGTTTTAGTAAATCAATTTTTTGCATTTTATTAGTCTGTCTTTTGTTGTTACTGTTGGACAGAAATCTAGAGCTATGTTTTGACTGAATGACTTGATTTTGAGTCTGATAACTCAAAAGAACTTTTGATAGAGTTAGTAAATGTAGAAAAAAGTATCCAGCATTTTGAAATGTAGTCTGTGTACTATTTGGCTAATTTTGTGATATAGTTCTGTTGCTGTGTTAAGACTTAAATGCTTGTTAGTAATTGAGAAAAACTGTTTGAGGAAAAGAAACTAAATAAAAACTTAAATCAGACCGTTTCTTAAATTCATAGTATATGGCATTAAATATTACATGTACTGCACATTTACTATCTTGCTTAGCATTTTGTTTTTAGTTTCTTTTAATTAAATTAGAAAAGTAAACAAGACTTCTGTTCTCATGAAAGTTTGTTTTTACAAGTAAATGCATCTTGATTTATATATATATATATATATATATATATATATATATATATATATATATATATATATATATATATAGTTAAAGTCAGATTTATTAGCCCCCCTGAATTATTTGCTCCCCTGTTTAATTTCTTTCCCACTTTCTGGTTAACAGAAAGGAGATTTATTTCTAAACATAATAGTTTTAATAACTCATTTCTAATAACTGATTTATTTTTTCTTTGCTATGATGACAGTAAATAATATTTTACTTGATATTTTTCAAGACATTTCTAAACGGATTAATGTGACATTTAAAGGCTTAACTAGGTTATTTAGGTTAGGGCGATTAGGCAAGTTATTGTATAATGATGGTTTGCTCTGTAGAATGTCAAAAAAAATTTGCTTAAAGGTGCTAATAATTTTGTTCCTAAAATAGTTTTTAAAAAATTCAAGACTGCTTTTACTATAGCCAAAATAAAACAAATAAGACTTTCTCTAGGAGATAAGATATTACCAGACATACTGTGAAAATTTCTTTGCCCTGTTTAACATACTTTAGGAAATATTAAAAAAAAAAAATTCAAAGAGGAGCTAATAATTCTGACTTCTACTGTGTGTAAATATAATTTATTTTGAATAGCAAAATATTTAGCTTGATTCTCACTAATTAGTTCTCGCTCACATACACACGCCCTCTTTCCTTTTCCCCCTCCCTCTTTCCCTTTTCATGTGTATATAAACTGTTCAGTTCATTTCTGAAGTAGAGGGTACTGGAGAAGCCAAACCCATAGGGTGAATTCCTGTCAATTTTAATTGTAATTTTAAATAACTGATCTGATGTAGAACAGAAAATACAGTCTTTGTATTTCTTTATCAGGTAGCACTTGAAAAAGGCTTCTGGATATAAATGTGCTTGATGGACTTTGGACTGAAACAGGTTTCTTGTAAACTCAAACAACAAGGAAAAAACATTTTGGATTTTTGAATCACTGTATTGTAAGAGGTGCACATAAGGGCGATGAACTCTACGATGCTTGAATACAATGCTCAAGACAGATTCAGGGATGCTTTGGTTAGAAATGTCATCGTTGTTATCTTTGGAATCACAATTAACTCCATCAATGGCGTGTTTGTATTTACATTCTTTAGGAGTTCAGTTTTCTATAAGGATCCAAGATATATTCTATATATTCACTTGGTTATCAATGATATGCTCATGGTTTTTGTAAGTGTTTCTCTTTCTGTGATGGCTTATGCATGGCAAAATGTACCATTTCCATTTTGTGTTATACTACTAATAATAGCATCTAAAACTCATAAGAACAGTCTTCTGACTTTGGCTGGCATGTCCATTGAGCGTTACATTGCCATCTGCAAACCACTGCATCACTATCAGATTTGCACAGTGCGCAGGACGTACATCCTCATCTCTCTGATATGGAGTGTTGGAGTTTTACCTGGATTGGCTGATTTTATTGTCCTTTTACTTGTTGATCCTTCTATCTTTACCAAAACAACTGTCTGTACCACAGCAAAATTATACTACACACCGTACCATGAAGAACTTAGCAAATATATGACTGGCATTTATACATGTGTTGTGTGCCTAATACTCATATATACATACTGCCGAGTGTTGATCACAGCCAGAAAGGCCTCCACTGATAAATCCTCAGCAAAAAAAGCTCAAAGCACCATCCTGCTACACGGAGCACAGCTTCTGCTCTGTATGCTGTCCTACATTACTGGTTCCATAGAAGTGATGTATGCTCAACTGTTACCAGCCGATCGGTCAAAACTGCTCTTTTGTAATTACCTTCTTACAAATTTACTACCGCGACTGCTCACCCCAATGATTTACGGTGTTCGAGATAAAGTGTTTTATAGTCACATGAAAGGCATTGTTGCATGTAAATTAGTTATTGTAAAGGTTGAATCAACTAAAGGATAAGCTAAGAAAAGAATCCCTATCTAGCTGGTTGTCATTTCCTTTCTTCTCTGTTGATTCTCTTTGGGAAAGCATTTTGTTATATTGTAAAACAATATACTGTTGTGTCTATAAAAAAACCCTTAGCTTAGGGTTTAGCTAAGAAAAAGATTCAAATAACAACCCTAAATTCTAAGGATTCCCATATTGTGGCAATCAAGGGCCTGGGGATGTTGAAAGGTTGCACCTTTGGAGACACCTGTGCTCTCACGCTATTTGCTTCATCTCACCAAATATGTGGCAGATCCAAATACTATGGTGCTTTACATATAATCTCAATGTTGTTCAGACGTAACTCTGAGTTCCTGACATGAAAGGAAAAATCTCAGTTATAGTCGTAACCCTCATACCCTAAAGGAGCGAACAAAGACGTTATGTCTTCTATGTCTTACAAATGCAGCAACATGTGGAAAAATAACATTCATTATTTTAATAAAAATAAATAGCAGTATATGAAGATTATTGTCCAACAGTGAAGATAAATCACATTCATGCTGTTTGTATATTATAAGTGTTGTTTTTTACTCGATGTATGCTATGTCACATCACAGGACATTTTTACAGTATATTTTAGTAAAGAGTACCAAAAACTAAAATAAAATGAGAGTGGAGGAATTAATAAACTTAGTGACCTCCTATATGTCTTCAAACATCAGACTACAGAAATACACATAAAAAAATTCTTAAATGTTTTAAAAAAGAAAATTATTACATATTTGTCATCTACCCAAATGGTTGGAGCGGTGAATCAGTGGTTAGGACTGTCGCCTCACAGCAAGAAGGTCGCTGATTTGAATCCCAGCGGGGTCAGTTGGCATTTCTGTGTAGAGTTTGCATGCTCGCTCCTTGTTGGCATGGGTTTCCTCCTGATGCTCTGGTTTCCCCCACAAGTCCAAAGATATGCGCTATAGGTGAATTGAATAAACTAAATTGGCCGTAGGTATGTGTGTGTGTGTGTGTGTGTGTGTGTGTGGGGGTGGGTGGGTGTTTCCCAGTGCTGTATTGCGACTGGAAGAGCATCTGCTGTGTAAGGCATATGCTGGAATAGTTGGCGGTTCATTCCGCTGTGTCAACCTCTAAAATAGAGACTAAGTCGAAGGAAAATTAATAAACTTTTTATACATGAATGTATAAAAAAAATAAACACGGGGGCTAATAATTCTGACTTCAACTATATATATATATATATATATATATATATATATATATATATATATATATATATATATATATATATATATATATATATATATATATATATATATATATATATACACACACACACACACACACACACACACAGTTGAAATCAGAATTAGTAGCCCCCCTGTTTATTTTTTTCTGTTTAACAGAGAGCAGAGTTTTCCAACACATTTCTAATCATAATAGTTTTAATAACTAATTTCTAATAACTGATTCATTTTATCTTTGTCATGATGACAGTAAATAATATTTGACTAGATATTTTTCAAGACACTTCTATACAGCTTAAAGTAACATTTAAAGGCTTAACTAGGTTTATTAGGTTAACTAGGCAGGTTAAGATTATTAGGCAAGTTATTGTATAACCATGGTTTGTTCTGTAGACAATTGAAAAAAAATAGCTGAAAGGGGCAAATAATTTTGTCCTTAAAATGGTTTTAAAAAATAGAAACAACTTTTTTTCTAGTCGAAATAAAACAAATAAGGCTTTCTCTAGAAGAAAAAATATTATCAGACATACTGTCAAAATGTACTTGCTCTGCTAAACATCATTTGGGAAATATTTAGAAAAGAAAAAAAAATTCAAAGGGGGGCTAATAATTCTGACTTTAACTGGTTGTGTAGCAATGCAAAGTGACCAAAATAACATCAAATTGTTTAGTTTGCTCGCATGCACGCTTGCTCACTCTCTCATCCGCCCTCCCTCTTTTTTACATTTCAAATGTGTATATAAACGGTTGAGTTCATTTCTGGAGTGAAGCAAACTGGGCAAAACGATCGGATTAGGTAACTGTTATCACCTTAATCATTTTAACTTGAAGTAACTGATCTAAGAACAGAAAATAAAACCTTAATTACCATATCAGGTAACACATGGAATTTTTTTACAGATATCCACTGAACTGACACTGATGTAATTAAAACAACCTACAATATTAGAAAAAACCTTTGGATTTTGAATCACTCTATTGTAAGAGGCGCACATAAAGGTGATGAACTCCACGATGCTTCAGTATAATGCACAGGACAGATTTAAGGATGCTTTGGTTAGAAATGTAATCGTTGTTGTCTTTGGAATCACAATTAACTCCATCATTGGTTTGTTTGTGTTTACATTTTTTAGGAGTTCAGTTTTCTACAATGATCCAAGATATATTCTATATATTCACTTGGTTATCAATGATATGCTCATGGTTTTTCTAAGTGTTTCTCTTTCTGTGATGGCTTATGCATGGCAAAATGTACCTTTCTCATTTTGTGTGATACTACTACTGATAGTCGCAAAAACTCAGACGAACACTCTTCTGACATTGGGTGGTATGTCCATTGAGCGTTACATTGCCATCTGCAAACCACTGCATCACCATCAGATTTGCACAGTGCGCAGGACGTACATCCTCATCTCTCTGATATGGAGTGTTGGAGTTTTACCTGGATTGGCTGACTTTATTCTCCTTTTACTTATAGATCCTTCTATCATTGCTAAAGCGACTGTCTGTACCCCAGCAAAATTATATAACACACCATACCATGAAGAACTTAAAAAATATATGTCAAGCATTTATGCATCTGCTGTTTTGCTAATACTCATATACACATACTGCCGAGTGTTGATCACAGCCAGAAAGGCCTCCACTGATAAATCCTCAGCAAAAAAAGCTCAAAGCACCATCCTGCTACACGGAGCACAGCTTTTGCTCTGTATGCTGTCCTACATTACTGGTTCCATTGAAGCAATGTATATTCAATTGTCACCAGCTGATTGGTCAAAACTGCTCTTTTGTAATTACCTTCTGACAAATTTACTACCGCGGCTGCTCACCCCAATGATTTACGGTGTTCGAGATAAAGTGTTTTATAGTCACATGAAAGGCATTGTTGCATGTAAATTAGTTATTGTAAAGGTTGAATCAACTAAAGGATAAGCTAAGGAAAGAAAAGACTCCTACTCAAGCTGTTTACAATTTCATTAACTCTCTGTTGAGAAACAATGCTATGTTGTATTTTATGCATTTTACCTTTTTAAGAAACCATTCATAATTTATGAAACTTCAAATTTTATTTGACATCATATTTCCTTTTAACAACTATTTTGTCATATTTAAAGAAATGTTTCCTAGTGTAAATTCCCAATGTAAGCATAATGTAAGTTAGATGAGTGATCTGGAACATATGATGCAAATGTCAAATCTTTAGTAAAAATTTCAAAACTTATAATAATAAAAACATCATAATTTCTGTATCTCATCTAGAAAAGCATGGGACTTTCACTATTTCCATTTTGCTGGAAAGGTCTTTAATAATAAATGTCAATCTCAAATGCATTGTCATTTCCTAAGTGTATATAAATTCAGTAAATGTAAACAAAAATATAGCACCCTGTTATTTATCACAAATGAACAAAATGACTGTTCTTTATCTGTCATAGCAAAGAACTGAACATGGCAATTTGAATGGAAAAAGTAGGATACATAATGAATGCAAATTAAGGTAATTAAAAAGATATCAGGCTCACTGTACACATACTTTCCTAATATCTTTAACAGAGCTCCTAAAAGTAAGTTCACACTACAAGACTTAAACATCAGCAGACCACTGTGCTGTTCAGACTACTTGACTTGATTTTGTCTTTAAGTCACTGTGATGTTTACACTATGGCTGCATTTAAACTGCAGATCTTGATGGTCAATTCCGATTTTGTGACTGTATTTGATTTTTTTGATGATCTGTTTACAATCACCTTCAAAAGTGACTCATATCTGATTGTCTGCATTTACACAGCACACGGCAAAGGCACAATGACCAGGAAAAAAAGAGCGGGTGCTTCCTGACAGCTGATAATTAAATAGTGGAGTGCTCTCTTCTCTATTCCTGTATGTAATCTGTTCACAGTTTTTGACATGCTCTTTTACTATAGTTTATCACAGAAAGGTTCTCATTTGTTCATTTTTTTTATATATATATAGGCTTTTTTTTAAAACCTTTAGGCATCTTAATGTATTGTCCATGGCGATTTATGCACGTGATGTATGCACTAGTTTTATATTAGTTTATATTGGTTACGTGGCAGGCATTGCTCTCTCTCTCTCTCACTCCTGTTAACATGCTTAAACACCTGTGCTATGTAACAATATAAATCTGTTTAAGTCCTCTTGTATGAGATTTAGCATTTGAGACTCAAACTTTACATCATTTGCTATGGTTTTTAATAGCGCGCGACTGGCATTGACAGGTGAGAATCCGATCTATCTGCTTACACTGCAGACACGAGAACACAGATCCGATTCACATCGGACAAATTTCCACATATGAAGAAGGCCTGAACCTGATTTGAGTAAATTGGAATCCATGTGATTTGTTCCTGCTTACACGTACATGGGCCATATCTGATCTGTGCCACATGGGAGAAAAAAATCGGAATTGAGTCACTTGAACAGTACAGTGTAAATGCCATTGTGACACTAAGTAAATGATCTACAGTAGAAGGCCCACACACTACATGATTTGACAACTTTCACCCAATAGCTCTATACGGTCCTCAAACCCCAGCCAATAAAATGTTAAGGGCGCAGCCATCAGAAGGAGAAGAGCAATATTGGCTGCAATAAATTTAATGGTGTGGTTATAACATATAACTGACACAGCATTTGAAATCTTTCTGAAAGCATTAAAGGGATGCTCCTACTCACACTAGGGCCTACTCACACTATGCCATCCGTACCGTGCCCAGGCCCGTTTCCTGGATTGTTTGAGAAGTGTGAGTGCGCTTAATCGGGCTCAAGCACGGTTCACTTGGCCGGCCCTGGCCCGGTTGGAAGAGGTGTGCCAGAGCCTGGTTCACTTGGGCTTTGTCGCGATACACTTGTGTATGAGTGCAAAACGCGCCAAAGCCCGCAACTGAAAGCGAAACGTGACTTTTAAAGGCACTGTTTTATATGTATTTATTTATCATTCTTACTGTTCAGTGATCGCAAACTGCCGTAGCTTATTAAAGACGCAAACCCCTCACTGCACGACAGTTGCGCGCCTTCAGCAGACCTCCTCATTCCTGCAGCACGAGAGCTTTATGATTGTTTATGAGCGGCAAAAGTGGCGGATCTGTTCAGCGAAATATCTGACTGCGTGTCCCCGCATCTCTAAGGACTGTTAGGCGAAATATTTGACTGCATATCAAACGACTGAAACGATATAACTAGAGAAATCTGCACTGTGCTGCTAAGTGAGTGAGAGCGCTTCTCACTGAACAGCGCAGCAGCGATGACGTAAGCGTGCCGAAGCCCGTTTGTGGTGTGAGTGCGGGCCGTCGAGTGTGAGACGGGAGAGGGGACAAGCGTGCTTTGGCCCGGTTCGAGGCAACTGTACCTAGTGTGAGTACGGCCTGAAAGCCTCGTCAATTAGCTTATGTGTCAGCAGATCAGTTGCTCATATATCTGTATGGTTCAGAGGATAGATGTGGGTTTTTCATGCTCTAATGTCCGTGTAAGTGAGTGCATCGATGACCTTTCAGGCCAGTCACAGACAGCTCATAACTTGCTCTCTCATTCACTACATTTACATGAACATCATTTGAATGTTTGAAACTTTGGGTGCACATGGTCCTCCAGAATGGTTCGGTAGTCCTTAGCAGTGACGCAACCATCCAGCAGATGTGTTGGGCCTAGGAACTGCCATGATATTGCAGCCCAAACCATTACTGATCCACCTCCATGCTTCACTCTGGGCATGCAACAGTCTGGGTGGTACACTTAGGCCCAATCCCAATTCTACCACTTAGCTCTTAGGGGAAGGGGCGAATAGCCCTTTGAACGAATATTTTTCAGGACCACGACAAACACGTTTTAATAAATTTCATAATTGCATTCTTGCGTTACCATCATTCTTTAAAATAAAAAAAAATAAAAAAAATAAAAAAACGCCAAATTTTGCGATCTATAATCCATAATAATAACTCCTGTATAGCAGTCCTACAACATTCTGACACTCGATGACACTCGAAAACCCTGTCAGAAAAGTCTAGTGGCTGAGAATGGGCTTTTTATAGTCTGCTGTAATGTAATGTTGCTTTTGTGTGTTAATATAGATGAATATGGCCGCTGTGTAAATGCAAAGTACAGTTACAATCTTATTGCCACATTAGATCGTTATGATAACATAATATATGCCTTCTGTGACTTCTTAAAGGTAAATAACAAAAAATAGCACAACTGAAACAACTAAAGCAGTCACAATCGGTGATCTCATATGAAGCAAGAGATTGCGATGACCTATGATGACGTGTGCAGGTGCTGTAGTGCTGTCCCTAAGTTTTAGGGGTAAATATTGAAGACTTCCCCCTAAGCCTCCTTTGTAAGGCCTCAGGGGAAGGGGTACAAAAATAGAATTGGGATTGGGCCTTATTTGGGGCTTTTCCACAATATAGCTCTCCTAGATGTGGGAAACACCAGGGGCCTCATGTACGAAGACTTGCATGGAAATCTTACTTAAATATTGCGTATGCACAAAGCTGTAAATGTGCGTACGCAGAAAAAAATTTAGATGTATAAAACACTGCGTACGCCGAATCTCACGCATATTCTTTTGTACATCTGAATGAACGTGAAACTGAGCGCAACATGCACGAGCACAAAACCCCTCCCTGCCTCCTCCCCCGTATGAATATGCTAATGACTATGCTAATTGCAAAACCCAACGAAAAAGCAAAGGCAAAAGCAAGCAAAAAGAGAAACTTTGAACAGAATGTGAATTGGAGGTGCTGCTTTCGGAGGTAGACCGGAGAAAAGCGGTGTTATTTGCAAGTTTGTTCTCCGGAATTAACAACAAAAGAAAAAAAAAAAAGAGTAGGAGAGTTTAGCTGATGCAGTCAACACAGTTGGGTCTGAACATATCGCACTGAGTGCATTAAAAAAAAAGAAATAGTGTGGTTTATATCTGTAAAATGTTGCAGTACGCTTAACAGTCTCAGTGGCGCGCTCGTAAGACGCTTGTGATCATGAATTGATACGTTCGAGCATGGATTCGGCTCGAATCCAGCGTCTGATGAACTCTCTCTTGTTTTTTCCCCCGCTACATATCAGATTTTGCCAATAATTTATCACGAGAAAGACAAGTAGGAATCATCAATAAGTTCATATCAATAAGCATCATATTTTATTTGCACATTTATTGAATGGAAATGTTTCTGATTCACGCATGCAAATTCATCTTCAGATAGTGTCTTTATAGCAATGTGCGTGCAGTAGATCGCTCAGATTACATTGGGAAAACAGGCGACTGCTACAAATTGTGCTTTAATGTTTAGCTGGTCAAATGTATGGTATGGAAACCTTATATACCTGCTGAACCCGTCTTATACAGCTGCCATTGCAAGGCTCAGACACTTTGTAGAGAGCAATTTAACACAACTGCCTCTAGGAGTCGCCAATGGAAATAAAACAGACACGCACAAAAAATGTGCGTACGCCTGCCAGAAAGCTGCCATGAAGCTGCGCACATTCCCACGTTCAGTTCATTGTTAGTAAATCCAAACGCGAGCGATTCTGAGCGTGAAACCTGGCGTACGCAAAGTTTTTGTGCGTACGCAGCGTTGATACATGAGGCCCCAGAAAAGTGGACTCATCACAGAACAACACATGTTTCACATTGTTCACAGCTCAAGATTTTTCCTGCTGGCAAAAATTGAAACTGGTGTTTGGCTTTGAGTGTCCAAAGGATTGGCTATAGCATCCTGGCTGTGTTTATTGATCCTTTGGAGCTAAGAACAATTTTGGTGGAAACAGGAAAGTTGAAGTGCACGTTCAATTCTGCCGTAAGATGGGCAGATGTGGTTTTATGTTTTTTGGATAAAATCTGGGTTAACACCTGGGCATCCCTTTCAGAGAACGTCCTCTTGATTCCACATTTACCAACAGATGTGATTTGTCCTTCTTGGTGGTATGCTGACATTACACTGAATACCTTGGCACTTGATACACACAAAGACAAATTGTCTTAGTCATAGATGCGCCCAGACACGCACCAACAATATGTCCTCATTATGGTGTTGTGTGCATTGCAATACTTTAAGCAAAACTTTGCTATTAGCCTGCTAATTAAACCTTCTCACTATGGTCTTATAGGTGGAATTTTGGGTATATGCGGCCAAAATTTTATCTATGCGATCTCAAAATATATTTGGAAGCATTTTTGCGAGTGCAGAAAATTGTTGCTGTGCGACCTGTTTTCACTGCAAAATATTTAGAGCATGCACGGTTTTAAGAGACATTCATGCTGAATGCATCTTTGCACCTCAAACGTATAGTTCAAAACAGTTGTCTTGTCAACTTGCTGCAGTAAACAAAGCATACAATGCTTGCTTAAAGCCTTAAAGCTCTTATGAATAGCCCACTTACTAGAACTTAACATGAGTTGGTTGGTTAATATCAGCTGTCAATCACTCAGTCAATGCCTTTAGATGACAGGGAGCTACAGCCGCGAAAATGTGAAGCATTGAAGAAGAGAGAATAAAAACAACACTGACAAATTTTGTTTTAGAAACCACCTAAAGTTACCAATAATGGCACATCTTATTAGTGATCATGTGGTGAATGTTAATCCACCATTTACACTTTTCGAAGAGTGGATAAAAGACTTGCATTGGGTTGAAGTCTGCTATGAAAATTACTACAGCTTTCAACGTAAAATCTATAGGATGGAGTTTGCAGGTAACTACGTTTTCATCTACACAACACAATTTAATCATGAGAGGTTCTGGTTAATCTTTCCTTTAATTGTCAGGATTCTGTTAGCCATGCAGGCATGTAAAATTTATCCCTGCGTACACCATCTCAAAAGGTCTTGCATTCACTTAGATTAAACTAATATTGCAGCTATTAAATAGACTATTATTGCTATTAAGAAGATGTAGGCATATAATAAGTTATATGTCAATAGCATCTGTGTAATATTAGACACCACCTGTGAGAACACTGTCATTATAGTTAACTAGGTTTCATTCATGTCAAGGGCACATGCATTTATTTTTTAATTCTTAGTTTTGTTAGTTTTAATCTGTTATTATAAAACTTCTAGTAACGGTGCATATAAATGGTGGGTGCGACAAAATTTTGGCTGAAGCTCCTAAATTTTTAAAGTTAGGAGCAACAGCGCAAACAAGACAAAAAGTTTAATTTCTAGCCCTGTATGTACATATTAGGGCTGTCAAAATTCTATTAAACGTGTAAAAAAAAATTAATAACGCAGTTGCAGTTTTTTTTATTTCCTGTTGTGGCCGACATGTGTTCAGCGTGCATAGAGGTGACCTAGTTGGCCGCCTTGGGCAGCAGAATAGTGAGCAAACCCCCCGGTTCTCACTTTTATCCGCTACTTTCATCTGCGAACCGGTCACTTTCGGGTTGAGGGCAGCGTTTGCTGTTTGCCTAGAGCGCCAGTTTAGCTTGCTCCGGCCCTGCATGTGTTTAATGTGCAAACAAATATGGATAAGACCAAGGACGCCCTTTTAGAAGAAAAGTTTCAGTATAAAACAATTAATGTTGCATCACCAGCCTATTCTGCCTTTCCTTCAGAATTTCATGCAATTTCGGGTGTTAAATTTTTAATCTCTTGACTTCAGCTGCAGTTCACTCTCATTCAGCATATTTTCATTCATGATGTTTTAATTGGAATTTGATACCGCATGACGAACGGAAGAAAAACAAAAATGGCTGCTTACATGGTTGACTCTTAAGTTGCAGTCACATGAGTATGCGATATTCTGTCGTATGGCTCTGCGAAAAGGGGTGGGATTAAACAAGCTTTTTAGGCATTTAAAAAAGTAAGCGATTGCTCCATGTTTTTCCAAATTTCAGTTCAGAGATGTCATGTTTTGATCCTCGATTGGTCTCACGCAGTCAAGTGATGCGATTTCGCAGGTCAGAGTTTACCAAGCTGGAACTTTGCACCGCAGCAACCTGCAAAATTTGACGCATGACCCTGCGTTTCCGGTCAGACGCATTCGCGGAAAAGCCCAGTGTGGCCGCAGCTTCAGTCAGTATTATCTTAATCATAAAAGCGGAGTATTGGTGTTCATGTAAATGTACTCTGTGAAAGTGGCAGATGAAGTCGCAAGCTGTCAAAGACAGCCCTATTCTCTGCCTTTAAGCACCTTCCATGAGCCCTCACATTTCATGTTTGACGTGTTTCCCCCCTACACGCAATTTTTGTAAAGTGTCTGCTTCACGTTGCTGTGCCAGAATCCTTGCTTGTAAAATACAGCAATAGGTAGAATGCTTACTTTAAGCAAATTTAATGAACGCAACTGTGCGTGTTGATGAATCTGAAATGATCCCTCGCTCACCGTGTGTGCTGTACTGCACGTGTTGTCTGTCTGTCTGTTTGTGTGTGTGTGTGTGTGTGTGTGTGTGTGTGTGTGTGTGTGTGTGTGTGTAGTCCACTTAGAATCCAACATGGAAATCTTTTTTTTTTTTTGTTATTGGCCCTAATATATATTTAGGATTGTGTAGATGTACAGTGACCAAAAAAAACAAACCAAATAGTTTATCTTCCTTACGTGCACCCTCATTTGCTAGCTCACTGTCTTTTTCTCCCTTCCTCCCTTTCTCCCTACATCCCTCCCTCTTTTTTACATTTCAAATGTGTATATAAGCGGGTGAGTTCATTTCTGGATTGAAGTGAACTGGACAAAACAATTGGATTAGGTAATTTTTTCACTTTAATTCACCTGTTTAATTTACAATAACTGATCGGAGAACAGAAAATAAAACTTTTTAAATTTCCATTTCAGGTAACACATTGAAAAATCTTATGGATATCCACTGGACTGACACTGATGTCATATAAACAACCTATAACAATAGGAAAAAAAAATCTAATTTTGAATCACTGAATTTTAAGAGGTGCACACAAAGGTGATGAACTCCACTATGCTTCAGGTTAATGCACAAGACAGATTCAGGGATGCTTGGGTTAGAAATTTCATTGTTGTTATCTTTGGAATCACAATTAACTCCATCAATGGCGTGTTTGTGTTTACATTCTTTAAGAATTCAGTTTTCTACAATGATCCAAGATATATTCTATATATTCACTTGGTTATCAATGATATGCTCATGGTTTTTGTAAGTGTGTCTCTTTCTGTGATGGCTTATGCATGGCGAAATGTACCTATCCCGTTTTGTGTTGTACTACTGATAATAGCTTCAAAAACTCATAAGAACAGTGTTCTGACTTTAGCTGGCATGTCTGTTGAGCGTTACATTGCCATCTGCAAACCACTGCATCACCATCAGATTTGCACAGTGCGCAGGACATACATCCTCATCTCTCTGATATGGAGTGTTGGAGTTTTACCTGGATTGGCTGATTTTATTCTCCTTTCAGTTATTGATCCTTTTTTCTATACTAAAGATACTATCTGTTCAACATCAAGGCTTTATAACACACCTTACCATGAAGAACTTAGCAAATATATGACTGGCATTTATTCATCTGGTGTTTGGTTAATACTCATATACACATACTGTCGAGTGTTGATCACAGCCAGAAAGGCCTCCACAGATAAATCCTCAGCAAAAAAAGCCCAAAGCACCATCCTGCTACACGGAGCACAGCTTCTACTGTGTATGCTGTCCTACATTACTGGCTACCTAGAACTGATGTATGCTCAACTGTTACCAGCCGATCGGTCAATATTGCTCTTCTGTAATTACCTTCTGACAAATTTACTACCGCGACTGCTCACCCCACTGATTTACGGTGTTCGAGATAAAGTGTTTTATAGTCACATGAAAGGCATTGTTGCATGTAAATTAGTTATTGTAAAGGTTGAATCAACCAAACAATAATTAAGAGAAGCCTCCTAATCTAGCTGTTTGTCATTTAATTTACTCTGTTAAAATACAATGCTATAATTAGCACTTTTGTATAATTAGCGCAGTCATAATTCATTAAATACAAAAAATTAATGCATCATATATTAATGTGTGACAACCATTATGCAATATTTTATAGAAATGTGTTTGAAAGTGTAATTAGTTAATGTAAGCATTGCACTTAGATGAATTACTGGTAACACTAATGTAAATGTCAAAACCTTAAAAATAATTTCAAAACTTCAATAGTTTCTGTATCCCAACTAGTAGAGCATGACGCTGTCACCAATCCTATTTTCCTGGGAAGGCCTTTAATGATGAATGTATATTTTGAAAACACTCATTTTCTTTGGATCGAAGTGTGTATTAAATGTGTAACTATAAGTTTATTTATTCTGTTGTGTGGCTAATACTTGTATATTCACATATTGACAAGTGCTGGTTAAGGCTAAAAGGTCTTCCACTAATATATCTTTAGCAAAAAAAAAGCTCAAAGCACCATCCTGCTACATGGAGCACAGCTTCTGCTCTGTATGCTGTCCTACATTACTCCTGTGTTAGACAAAATGTATGCACCACTCGTAACTGAACAGCAGAAGAAAATAAACTTTCAACTATCTACTAACTAGCATTTTACCAAGACTTCTTACCCCATTGATTTATGCTGTTTGAGATAAACAATTTTTTAATCACATTAAGGGTCTGTTTCATGTAAATTATTGGTTGTAAGTGCTGATTTAATTAAACAATAAGCAGAAGGATTTTTTTATCATCTAACGTTACCTATCTATCTATCTATCTATCTATCTATCTATCTATCTATCTATCTATCTATCTATCTATCTATCTATCTATCTATCTATCTATATATATATATATATATATATATATATATATATACCTGTATTAGCCCTCCTGAATTATTAGCCCCCTTGTATATTTTTCTGCTAATTTTTGATTAACAGAAATATGTTTTTCAGTACATTTTTAATGTAATAGTTTTAATAACTCATTTCTACTCACTGATTTTTTTTATCTTTGCCATGAGGACAGCACATAACATTTTACTAGATAATTTTCAAAATACAAGTATTTGTCATAAAGTGCAGTTCATAGGCTTAACTAGGTTAATTAGGCAAGTCATTGTTTAATGATGGTTTGTTCTGTAGACAATCTAAAAAAAATTTGCGTAAGGGGGCTAAAACTGTTAACATTAAATTAGTTTTAAAACAATTAAAAACTGCTTTTATTCTAGCTGAAATAAAACAAATAAGACTTTCTTCAGAAGAAAAAAATAAAGGAAATACTGGGAAAAATTGCTTGCTTTGTTAAATCTCAGTTGGGAAATATTTGAGAGAAAATTTCACAGCAGGGCTAATAATTTTGACTTTAGTATATGCAAAATAACATGCCAAATTTAGTTTACTTGCATGCACGCCATCTCTCTCACTCTCTCTTCCTCCCTCCCTCTTTTTTACATTTCAAATGTGTATATAAACGGACAAAACAATCGCATTAGTACATTTGTATCTGATCTGGGACCAGAAAATAAAACTTCAAATATACATTTCAGGTAACACATTGAAAAATCTTATGGATATTCACTGAACAGACACTGATGTCATATAAACAACCTACAATAATAGAAAAAAATTTGAATTTTGAATCACTGAATTTTAAGAGGTGCACACAAAGGCGATGAACTCCACAGTGCTTCAGGTTAATGCACAAGACAGATTCAGGGATGCTTTGGTTAGAAATTTCATTGTTGTTATCTTTGGAATCACAATTAACTCCATCAATGGTTTGTTTGTGTTTACATTCTTTAGGAGTTCAGTTTTCTACAATGATCCAAGATATATTCTATATATTCACTTGGTTATCAATGATATGCTCATGGTTTTTGTAAGTGTGTCTCTTTCTGTGATGGCTTATGCATGGCGAAATGTACCTATCCCGTTTTGTGTTGTACTACTGATAATAGCTTCAAAAACTCATAAGAACAGTGTTCTGACTTTAGCTGGCATGTCTGTTGAGCGTTACATTGCCATCTGTAAACCACTGCATCACCATCAGATTTGCACAGTGCGCAGGACGTACATCCTCATCTCTCTGATATGGAGTGTTGGAGTTTTACCTGGATTGTCTGACTTTATTCTCCTTTCAGTTATTGATCCTACTTTCTATACTAAAGATACTATTTGTACTGCATCAAGGCTTTATAACACACCTTACCATGAAGAACTTAGCAAATATATGACTGGCATTTATTCATCTGGTGTGTGGTTAATACTCATATACACATACTGTCGAGTGTTGATCACAGCCAGAAAGGCCTCCACAGATAAATCCTCAGCAAAAAAAGCTCAAAGTACCATCCTGCTACACGGAGCGCAGCTTCTGCTCTGTATGCTGTCCTACATTACTGGCTACCTAGAACTGATGTATGCTCAACTGTTACCAGCCGATCGGTCAATATTGGTCTTTTGTAATTACCTTCTGACAAATTTACTACCGCGGCTGCTCACCCCAATGATTTACGGTGTTCGAGATAAAGTGTTTTATAGTCACATGAAAGGCATTGTTGCATGTAAATTAGTTATTGTAAAGGTTGAATCAACCAAACAATAAGCAAAAAAAAAAAAGACTCCTAAACTAGCTGTTTGAAATTTTGTTTACTCTCTGTTAAAATACAATGCTATAATTAGCACTTTTGTGTAATTAGTGCATAATTTATTAATTTCCAAAAATAATGCATCATATATTTGTGTAACAACCATTCTGTAATATTTAATGTAAATGTGTTTCAAAGTGTAAATTCTTGATGTAAGCATTGCACTTAGATGAATGACTTGTAATACTAAAGCAAATGTTCAAAATGTCAATAATTCCTGTATCCCAATTAGTAGAGCATGGCACTGTCACCATTTACATTTTCCTAGGAAGGCCTTTAATAATAAATGGATATCTTGAATAGACTATTTTTCTTTGGATGGAAGTGTGTATTAATTGAGTAAATGTAAACAAAAATATACTACCCTTGTTTTTTCTGTTACAAAAATGTCACCAAATATGGACTAACCCAACCACTGGTTTAAAATGTTGGCTCCAGCACCCTCACTGTTGACTCTGCCACTATGTCTACATTTTTATTGAATGCATGATTGTGATTTTTTTCAATTTCAGTGCTCATGTGATCCAGGGTGATTCATGAAATCATACAAACATTGTGAGATGAAATATATCCTAACTGTAAATATGCTTCCAGTTGGGGTTCATTAAATTCAGTTTAGAAAAACAAAAGTGGCTGGTATGTATTTGTGAGTTGGCACAGATCTCAGGATATATAGGACTTATTTGATAGATTATTGCAATGGTAGAGATTAAACAACATAAATCATAACAAATCTTCAGCATAAAAATAAAACTGATGAAGGCAAAAGAGTGTCATCTACCATCTACTATCTACCTGACAGTGAGTATGTTTACATGGACACCAATAATCAGATTTTAATATGATTAAGATAATACTCTGATTAAGAGTCTACCAAACAGCATGTTTTTATTAATTTAATCTGATTAAGGTCATAACAAACTAAACAGAAATCAGATTAAGACATGTGGAGTATGCTGATTTTAGTTGCATTATTGAAGTGCAGTACAGCCACGTAAACACCGCAATCAAACTATTACCATCGTGAAGGATTTTCAACACACTTTGCGACAGGATAGTCTATCTAACTACTGCAGTTTGATACTATAAGAGTTTTCCCCCATATTTTTAACCCATATCAAATTTAATTAAATCTACACTCTTCCAGCAGTTCGTACTTTTTTTTTTTTTTTTGAATATTGTGTTTTTCACGGGGGTCATGCATGTAATGTTCCTGAATGGGGAAGTGAAAAGGCCAAACTGCAGTTAAAGTCGACACATTAAAAATGAAACACTTGAAAGTACATGAGACTCCGGAGGAAATGTGGATAGCGCGGTGATGCAATGACGTTAATCGAACTATGTGCTATAACATATAAAACAGGATCATGAAGAGAACATGCATAAAGCAAATAATGTAAAAACTTTAATCATATTATTGTCTTATTCAGATTAAGTCAAACAATTTGATTTCGATGTGCATGTTGACGTAGTCACTATCAGTTAATCTTTTGTTCTGATGTCCAAGTAGATTTATCTGTTTTAAAGACAGTTTTCATGTAGAGGTGTTTTTGTAGCCTGCTGCATAGAGGAAGCCCAGACAAAGCCTGATTAAGCCACAAAAGTGGAGGTGAAAATGTGACTAGCCCTGGAAAATAATAGCATATTAAATTGTCTAATGTTTTTTAAATGATGCCAATATCTTAACTTTTTATATTAATCAGATATTTCCATAATTGCAACATGATGCCTCAGCCTCACCCCTCCCTTGCTTTCTTCCTCTCTGTCTCTTCTCCCCTCACTTTCTCTCTAGTGCCTTTTTTTTCTACTTATTTTAAACATGTATATAAGCTGGTGTGTGTAAATCTAGAGCAGTTTACAAAGCAATCTGAACAGGTATGTTTCAGCAATGTATTTAATTTAAAATGTTTTACTCATAATGTAAATTGTTAACCAGATGTTTTTTTTCTCTTTATTTTTCCTATCAGATTAAATAATTGGAATAACTTTAGGGAAAAGAAGAGCCTACTATACTTTAAACAGCCATCAAAGTCTTTTAACAGGAAGAGCGATAACAATAACACCAACAGCAAAACGTATAAAAGAATTGTCACTTATAGGAACCACTGAAATTTCCAGCAGCACACTAACACAATGAACTCCACAGTGCTTTTATATAGTCAACAAGAAAGATATGCAGATGCGTTTGCTAAAAATTTTTCCATTGTTTTGCTTGCTGTTATAATCATCTCCATTAACGGAATGTTTGTATTCATATTCTTTAGGAGATCAATTTTCCACAGTGATCCACGATATATACTGTATATTCACTTGGTTATGAATGATATGCTCATGGTTTTTATTTCTGTAGTTCTTTTTGTGATGACTTTTGCATGGCACAATGTGCCTGTCCCGTTCTGCGTGTTGCTCCTGTTAATAACCTCGGTAACTCATAGGAACACTCCTCTGACTTTGGCTGGTATGGCTATTGAGCGTTACATTGCCGTCTGCAAACCACTGCATCACCATCAGATTTGCACAGTGCGCTGGACGTACATGCTCATCTCTCTCATATGGAGTGTTGGAATTTTACCTGGATTGACCGACATTTTTCTCCTTTTAATTAATGGACCTTTGGCTCTTTTTACAACTATCTGTACTTCAGTAATTCTTTATAACACACCAAGCCATGCTGAACTAAGCAAAATTTCGAATGGAATTTACTCATCTATTGTGTGGCTAATACTCGTATATACATATTGCCAAGTGATGGTTAAAGCCAAAAGGTCTTCCACTAATAAATCCTCAGCAAAAAAGGCCCAAAGCACCATCCTGCTACACGGAGCACAGCTTCTGCTCTGTATGCTGTCCTACATTACTCCTGTGTTAGACAAAATTTATGCACCACTCCAAACTGAACAGCAGAAGAAAATAAACTTTTTCAACTACCTACTAACTAGTATTTTACCAAGACTTCTTACCCCCCTGATTTATGGTGTTCGGGATAAACAGTTTTTTAATCACATCAAGGCACTCCTTACATGTAAATTATCTGCTGTAAATGTTGATCCAATCAAACAATAAGCAGAATATTTTATATAATAAAATGTAATATAGTATATTATTAGTATAGTATAATATATTATATTGTACTTTTTATATTATTCTAGTTTATATTCTTCTTTTTTCTCTGCAGAAAATAAAAATGAGAAATGGGTTCTGATTGATGAATGAACAAAATAGTAGCAGTTTGAAGATGGCATGGCTGCTAATGGCAGTAACACAGGAGCATTTCACATAATTATGAAGATTACTGAATAACAAATATTTAAAAGATTTTTATTTTCTTTCCATCACATTACTAGCAACTTGTGTAATTTTTCTGATATAGTTACATAGCATTTAAATTATTTGCCTTTGATGCAAGGCCTCTTTTCATAGCATGTGTTCAAATATGTCTTTTATGATATTTATTATGTATCTATTAAAGGAGCAGTAAAGCAAGACAATGAAAAGAATGTGTATGGTAACTGTGATTTTGATCATTAACTGTGTTTTCTGCACTAGTTATCAATATTAGTCAAATGTGAATTCCTATTTTTGCCCTTTCTAGTATCACTTTGAATTAAAAGCATTATACAAAGTCTTTTGTACACCAGCAAAGGTGCATTTCACATAATTACATATGAAGATTACTAAATAGTAAAGACTTAAAACATTTTTTTGTATCTTTCCATCACATAACTAGTATCATATGTATGTTTTTGTCTAATATAGTTACATTGCATTTCAATGTATTGCTTTCGATGCAAGGCCTTTGACCATTAGATTTGCATTTGTTTAAACGTATCTGTACTGGGATTTATCATGTATGTATTAAAGGAGCAGTAAAGCAAGACAATGAAAAGAATGTCTATGGCAACTGATTTTGATCATTAACTGTGTTTTCTGTACTAATTGTCAATATTAGTCAAATGTGAATTCCTATTTTTGCCCTTTCCATAACTTATACAAACTCTTTTGTACACCCACAAAGGTGCATTTCACATAATTACATATAAAGATTACTAAATATCAAAGATTTAAAAGATTTTTTATATCTCACAATCACTTAACTAGCACCATATGTATGTTTTTGTCTGATATAGTTGCATTGCATTTCAATTAATTGGTTTCAATACAAGGGCTCTTAACAATAGATTCACGTTAGTTCGAATGTATCTGTAATGGGATTTATTATATATGTATTAAAGGAGCAGTAAAGCAAGGCAATGAAAAAAATGTGGATGGCAACTGTAATTGTGATCATTATTAACTGTGTTTTTAGTATAAATTAGTGTAATGTAAATTCCTAGTCTTTGTCCTTTCTACACTAAAACATTCCCGGTTGCCTTACATTTTTAAGCTGAATCAAATAAACCTTATGAGTCCATTGAACTTATATTGTGTTGACTGAGATTATGATATTATGAATATTTGTTCACTGTCAGTCAGTAGCCCTGCCTCCATGAAGAAATATTATTTAGCAGCATTGAAAATGAATGAGGTGGCACAGTAGGTAGTGCTTTTGCCTCACAGCAAGAAGCTCGCTGGTTCGAGCCTCGGCTGGGTCAGTTGGCATGCTCTCCCTGCGTTCGTGTGGGTTTGGTCCGGGTGGAAAAAAATAGCAATAGACAAAATACTCTGTTGGAAATCAAGATGAACATATTCAAAAGAATATTTATCATTTCTGTTTGGATCACATCATGTTTGCACTCATGTGCTATATTATTCCTATTTTTAAGTCAAACCAATAGAGGGAGCTCAAGCACATTCATTTATTTATTTTATTTTAGGCTTAGTCCCTTCACAGGGGTCTCCAAATCGGAATGAACCATGATTTTTTCCAGCATATTTTTCATGCACGAATGCCCTTCTAGCTGCAACCCATCAATGAAAAATATCCATACACACCCATTCACACACATACACTACAGACAATTTAGCGTACCCAATTCACCTTTACCACATGTCTTTGGACTTGTGGGAGAAACCCACGCAAACACGGGGAAAACATGCAAACTCCACACACAAACGCCAATTGACCCAGCCGTGCTGCCTCAGCCTAAGCACATAAAACAGACATTTTTAGGTTTTACATGCAGATGCAGAAGTCCAAAATCCAAAAAGGCCCTGATGAAACACTAATGAAATATAAAACCAGATAAAGTCATGATTATAAAATATACATCATTTTGCCAGGCTCTACTTGTCTAAATTTGTCAAGCGGTCTCTGCTTTTTTCATGAGCATTTTTTTATTTATTCATTTATTATGGTTCAGTGGTTAGCACAGTGCCTCACAGCAAAAAAATAAAATAAATAAATAAATAAATCGCTGGTTTAAGTCCTGGCGGCATAGTTCTCTCAGTGTTTGCATGGGTTTGCCCTGTGCCCTTGTTTCCCCCATAGTCCAAAGACATGTGGTATCAATGCTATCTCACGGCAATTCTTAACTTTTTGATTTTGTGACTAATTCATATGAATTTGTACAGTCAAATTCATACAATTAAGTACGAAGTGCTTAGTAACAATGATGGATGTGTTTGGGGACGGGGTTTAGTACCATGCCTCCTTTTTAAAATCATACATTTTCATACGACTGAAATCCAAACTGACAAAATGTAAAATAGTTACGCTTCCTCCCGAGATCAGGCTGGTAGTACAGGTGAACTGAATAAACTAAACTGACCTAAGTGTATGAATGTGTGGGTGAATAGGAGAGTGTATAGGTGTTTTCCAACACTGGGGATTTACTAGTTAGTGTTTACTCAGTGCTGGGTTGCAACTCCAAAAGCATCCATCTCATAAATTTGCCAGAGGAATTGGAGGTTCTCCTTCAGGAGAGAAACTTCAATGCTATGTGAAAACTTCCACTATGGGCATTTGTCAGAATCCAATCATTTGAAAGAGTATATAAATGGCCCAATGAAATGCCAAATGCTACTTGCGATTAATTTGGAATACAAGCACAGCACGTGTCAAGCTAAGGTATCCTTTACGCTTAAGATTCTTTCACGAAGCTTCTGAGAGAGTCAATGAGGGTTTTCTCTGACTGTTACGACAGAGAAAGAACGAGAAAGCGGCCTGCTTCTCCCGGTCTAGAGTGTGTATGATACGCGGTGGCAGACGGTCAAGCTGGGTTTCTCCCTCGCCTGGCGTTCTTTGGGTCCGGCCCTCCAGAGCAGTATGTATTGTTGCGAATTTCCTAAAAGAGCAACATGGTCGTGCAGCGCATCTTTTTAGCATTTCATTCCCGGCACTGGTCCAGCTGCACGAGGATGGTTCCAACCCACGCTTGATACATGAGCCCTGTGTAATGGAGGCCAGCTAATAAGTGCTGTGCTGGTAAACCTCATTCCTTTTGACCTCTACAAGTGCTTTAGCGACATAAACTAGAGGCCGTGGTCTTTAGCCTTCATGTTAGAGCAACCGACTCCCATGTGGAAGGTTGCCAGTTACATTGGAGCTGTGACCCGGATGGGAGTGAGGTGTAGGGGTGAGTGTAACGGGGGCCAGCTAGTAAGTGCTGTGCAGGAAAACCTCACTCCTTTGACCTCTAAAGGTGCTCTAGCAACAGACGTTAGAGGCCTTGGTCTTTAGCCTCCTTGTCAAAGCAACCAACTCATTTGGAAGGTTGCCAGTTCGATCCCAGCTTGAAGCGGGTTGGGTGGTGTAGGACCAGCAGGGTTATACCCTTACCGCAACCGACTGTGCCCTATGGATCACAAATTTGCGGCGTGTGCCCTGGGAAGGTCAGTGGCCACATTATTGGTCCAGGACAGCTACCTCTGGCTAAACCTGGAGAAAAATATAAAAATATTCGCAAAGTTGACAAAGTTGCCTTTTTAATTGCCCATATCCCAGGCTGGGCCATTCAGACACAACATCGTCTGTGAGTTCACCCAGGAATTCACAGTGGTGCAGTCGGATGCGATTGGCTGAGTCATCTATTGGCAGGCATATAAGACTGCCTGCCATGCCTCTTCTGGCGTAGGATGCAATCTAGCCAGTTCCTTCAGCTAAGATGAAAAGCGGGTTTTACAGCATGTACTTCATCATACCCATAAAAGAGTGGTGGGCTACAGCCAATCATAGATCTCCGCGTCTTGTACCGCTGTCTTCTTGTCTGCAGCAATAGAACTAAGGAACACGTACTTCATGTCTCTATACTTCCACACCACTGTCAGTTTCTGCGGTCTGCGTTTGAAGGTTGAGCCTAGCTGTACAAGTCCTCCCCTTTGGGCTCTCTCTGTCTCTCTGGGTTTTTACTAAGCTCGGGGAGGGTGTTTGGCACCCGCGCCTAGATCTAAGCCTCTCGTAGGGTCCATAGATGAAGCACGGAGAACTTGGGTGACCTACCGTTTAGGTGCTTAACACCGTCACTCAGGCTAGAGCACCCTCTACGAGGCATGCCTACACCTTGAAGTGGTCTATTCACTGTGTGGTATTCTTTTTCTCCGAGAAGGACCCTGAGCATGCCAGATCAATGTGATGCTATTCTCCTTCAGTTGGCTGGAGCTAAGCCTATACCCTCCGCACTGAGGGGTTGACGTTGCGATCACTTCTGCTCTGAGGACGCGAACCCTGCAGAGACTCCGCCGGGGCCCCCAGTATCTGACTCAGCGGAGGAGTCAGGTTTTGGCCCGTTACATTGTTGGCATGTCTGCTGGTAAACCAGAGTTCTTGGTATAGGTGCCTGCTATGTGCGATCCTCACTGGCAATCCCATATGATCACTCAGCCCCTCTTTGGCGGACTCGTGTCTTCCCTCTCCGCTAGCCTCCGCAGCGTCTTCCTTGTTGCGACTGCATGCTTTCCCAACGTACTGTCGTATTAAAATTCCTAAAAATTAAATAGATGCATTATGACTCCCAAAAATATAACTAAATCTGTAAAAAGTCCATTGAAGGGAAATAAGTAAGGGCCAGGGAACACATTGGAAGACCGTGTCTCTGGTGATGTATATGCGCTCACGCTCTTGGCTTGGCATACCCTCTTATCGGGGGCAAGGTAAGGTTCAATTATTGTGGCGTTTTCCATACATTTCTCCATAGTGGAAGTTTCCACATAGCATTGTAGTTCCAAAAGGTTGGGAACAGAAATGCTATGTTCCTTTGCCACAATGATTGCCCCTCAGCTATTGGGCGTGAAAGGCTCTTAAGCTAGAAAAGGATGCCTCAGCTTGGCACGCACAGCGCTTATATTCCAAATTGATTGTAAATAGCGCCAGCTGTGCATGTTGACGCTGCAAACTCATTGGCATTTCATTGGCGCTTTTATACACTCTTTCAGATGATTGGATTTTGACGAAATCCCCATAGTGTAAGTTTCCACATAGCATTTTCGTTTCCCCTACCTCGCGATTTTAGTCGCATTATTGAAGTGCAGTCACGTAAACACAGCAATCAAACTAATACCGTTGTGTAGAATTTTTGCCACACTTTGGGACAGGATAGTCTATACACCAATATAAGAGTTTTTTCCCATTTGGCATGCAAAATCAAATTTTATTGAATCTACACTCTTCCAGCAGTTCATACTCGCATTGAATATCGTGTTTGTCACGGGGGTCATGCATATAATGTTCCTGAATAAAGAAGTGAAAGTACCTAGCTGCAGTTAAAGTCGACACTTTAAAAATGAAACACTCGAAATTACCAACACAATCTCACGGCAATTCGTAACTTTTTAATTTAGTAGCTAATCCTTTGAATTTGTACGATCTAATTCGTACAATTTAGTACGATTTGCTCATCCACCAATAGGGGTGGGGTTAGGTGCTACGCCTGATTTTCAAAATCGTACCATTTCATACGACTGAACTCGTACGAATTCTTACAAATTAGCAGCTAAAGTGACAAAACGTAAAATACTTATGTTTTCTCGTAAAATCAGGCTAAGATTACATGAAATTTAAGCCTGGATTATACTTCTGCATAAAGTGACCGGCGTGACCCACGGCGCATGCAACGCGCGTAGCTGTACATTTATACTTCTGCGCACTGTCTCTGTTGGTCTGCATTAACACTTTCGAAATGCTAGTTGGCAGTGAGGTGTTAATGTTCCTCTATGTCGAGTTTCTTCGCTGCTGTGTTGCTTTTCCTGAACACTTCCGGGATGTACAAGTGGCTCAAACTCGCTTATTTTGAGGCAGGAACCGGTGGACGAACAACAACATTTACTATGAGGTAAACGCAAAACAAAACTTTCCATCCGGAGCTCCTTCACGGGACTCCACACTTGTAAACAATCGCTCCATCAGGCTCGCACCATTCACGCGGCTCTCAGTCCCGCCCTGACTCGTCAGCG